GTCTGGAACAATGTATGCTATGAATACAAAGATGCTTCAAAGCATGACTATGGAAATAACGTTATGTTTTTTGGAATAATCTTCTGAGTTTTCTTTCAATGAAGTGAATGTTGAGTTTATGAAATGTCCCAAAATCAGTGAAGACACCATTCACAAACACCCGAGAACCAAAGGAGATCTCAAAAGAGCTCTGGTTCTGACTAACCAAAAACAAACAAACCCTGAAATATTAAAAACATGAAATATTCAACTACAGTTGTATAAAACAGAGCAAATCTGCCTTTCTTCATTATGGAGGTCCTAACCAAGGATAATAATATTCACAGAATAAATGGCTTGCTAAAGTTGTTGCTGATTAGATTGCTGCCATTGGATTAACTTTTCAATCATCTAATAGTTCCACAACTCAGTGCTTCCCAATCATTTACAGTATATGAGCAGTAAAAAAAAATCTTCACGTTAAGATGACTTTGGTGGAACATATCAGCTGGTTACTGTTTTACAACTGCGAACATCTGCCAGCTCTTCTTTATGAATTATTAATAAATGGTGCATTTTTTTGCAGGTAAAAACAGCCAAGTGTTGTGATTTTCTCTGTGTGACTTCTACTATCCCCTGTGCTCCGTTTTTAAATGAGTGTTTTGTGTATCTCTGTGGTGGGGGAGGACAGAGGTCAGGATTTATTAAGAGGGTACAATCAATTGGCGTCTAAACCTTGAAAGGAAAGTAGGGCAACGTTTTAACTGAGATTAGACAGATGGTGTTCACAGGAAACAGCAGTCAATGTTGCAGCTAAGTGTGTAGGACTGTGGCTAATCCATGAATCCCCCCCGCCCCCCTCTTACTTCCGCCAGGTCCAAACCCCTGAATTATTTTTGAACAAGGTGCACGTTTATGTTCTCAACATGATGATCACATCTCTAACCTACATGTCATCCAGCAGCAATAGATGTGACAGATGCGAAGATCAACACACACACACATGATGTGAAGAAAACAGAAAATTATAATCCTTATGTTAATCCTTAATGTTGAAAGATAAAGAAAGGTGGTAGACCCACCACTCACTCACCATATCAAGATCTCTCTGGGTGGTCATGGCTCAGTACGTGTGAAGGCCGTGGATGTGTAGAGGACAGGACTGGCGTGTTTCAGCTGCTGGAGGAGACGGGGGCAGAGCCCTGACACAAACAACACAAACACTGTGAAGCTGCTCTCCACAGCCTGGCACCATTACTGCATAATCCATTATCCATCGCACAGCTAGCATCATAACAGCATCAATCACACACCATTATTAACCTGAGAAGTTATGAGTATTGCTCAAACAGGCCCACTCCACAATGATTAAGTTAAATGACATAATTAGCCCCCTTTTTTTTTTTTTTTTTTTCCAGCGACGGCAGCGTAATATCTTAAGTCTCTCCATGTTAAGCTGATGCGGCTAGCAGGCTACACATCCCCACACTCACAGGAGATTCAAGAATTGTTGCAAATTAGCTGATTTTAAGTCATAACACATTCAATGCTGTGAAATAGAAAAAAATATAGCCTGACCACCACCACTAGCACCGAGTTTCGACCTGATAAATGTCGAAGCTGAGCCTGTCAGATAACAGAAGGCTTGTGCTAACGTTAGCATTCAGCTTTAAGCCAGTTCCGCTTCGGCTGGCAAAGCTGGACGTGCAACTTTTTTTTTTTGTCTCGTCGACCTCACCTGCATCTGAGGATTACGATAAAATCTCGCATCCAGTTGAGTTGACGATCAGTGGGAGGGGGGTGATCTTTTCTTGTGGGGAAAATATCGAGTGGAGATATTGACATCGGTGGCTAATAAGACGAGAAGACGCCGGATGTCAGCTGGTTGTAAACACAAGAGAACTGACTGCAATGCCTTGTGGGAGTTGAAGTTCTGCCGCGCTGAGACGAGGACGCAACACATGAACACGCTTCAAACACAAAAGAGTCTACTCTGCCTCTTTAATGTACTGCATACAGTGTAACACTGTTTTTTAAATGTGATGATTGCCTCCTGTGTTTATGTGTGTTTCTACTGATGATGGAAAGGAACTTGAGGTTGTAAACTCTTACAAGTATCTGAGTATTTTAATTGATGAGTCCCTTCATTTCAAACCACATGGGCTGTGCCTGGTGAAAAAGCTGAGGCTAAAACTGGGTTTTTATTTTAGAAACATGTTGATGTTTTTCTTTTAATGTAAAAAGCGTCTTGTGGCTGCAACTTTTTTACCTGTCTTAGACTATGGTGATCTTTTGTACACGCACGCCTCTGCTCAGTGTCTCAATGATTGACAATTTACAGTGCATCCTTGAGGATCATTACAAACTGTAAAGCTCTGACTAACTGAGTTGTACTCACGGGTTTGGATGGCCTGCTCTGGTGACCCATAGGCTTTTACACTGGTACACCTGGATGAGGCAATTGTTGGTCTGCTTCCTCACTATCTACATGTTTTAATCATGCAGAAAAGTACTGGACAGTGTTCTTTGAATTCTCGTGACCTCTTTTTGCTCTCTGTCCAAAACGCTCGAATAGAAATTGAGAAAAGGGCTTTTGGTTTTTTTCTGCACCCTCAGCCTCGAATATGTTGCAGAATGACTTAAAACTCAAGGAGCTGGTATCCTTAAATGTTTTGAAATCTAAAATGAAAGACATGGAAGCAGATTCTGTAGGATGTCGATGTTTTTAGTTCGACTGCTTGAACTGCTGACTTCCAAATTTGACTCATAGATGATTATATTTTAATGCAAAATTTAGTGTTTTGTAAATTGTCTCTCTTTGTGTCTCTGTCTGTAACTTTATGTTTTTTTTGTTGCTGCCTGTCTTGGCCAGATCTCCCTTGAAAAAGAGGTTCTTAATCTCAATGGGACAAACCTGGTTAAATAAAGGTTAAATTAAATACAAATTAAATAAAAAATACATGAAGCTATAGTCCGTGACAGGCTACATGTCACAATAATTGTTTAAATTATGTCATGCCTTTAAAAAAAGAAGTAGATTGATGACAAAATATATCTTGATAGAATAATTACCAGGGATCACATTAGCATCAGCATATCCTACTTAATTAGTCCCAGTGCTAACCATGAGTAATCATTCCTGAATTGAAACACACTGACTTAATATTTTAGCTCAACTTGAGCTTGTAGTTAACTATTTCATAACCTAAAGCCTCTTATTGTATCTTTGAAGGTCCATGGTACAGATGTCACCTGAGCACACATATCATTACACACAGACCCAAGCTGTAGCATATGCATGCAAAATGCTTATCAGCATGTGAAATGTATTAAATCCTCTGCTTGTATGTTGCCCACATACTGCACATGCTCGTTTCCTGAGGTTGATCCTATATGTGGACTTTAAAATCTGGAGCCACAGCAGCATTTCAGACAGATGCCAGTCTGTTCTCATTCATGACTCAGTAACATGAGACAGTGCATGAATTAAAAGCAACTTTACAGAGTTTATGGAGGGTTACTATTAGTTACCTGGTCATTTAACTTTTCAGCATGACACCCAGGAAGCATTACAATAAAGCAGAATCATATAAAACGTACTGTAAACACAATCCTATCAGATAAAAACGCAATAAAAAAATATGTGGAGTCTGAAACACCTAATGGACTCTGGATAAATTACTACTTATAATAAAGAAAATCTTAGATACATAATACAGTAACACAAGTATTTGTTTTCACTCGAGGTTTTATGGTTTTCCACATTTCTTGCACATTTTATTTCACTGTTCATTATTATCTCATCATACAACTGCCAGATAAATAAAACTACAGACAGAAAACCGTTGAAAAACCTGCAGGCCTGAAAAACTGGGATAATAAATAATTAGCAGAATCACACCTTAGTCTTATGAAATACAACTCTTATCAAGCTATAAATCCTGATGTTATCATCGTAAACAATGCCAATAAAACAAAATGTCCAGAGATGTTTGTACCTCACTAGACAGAGAGTTCTAACAGGATCGCAATTTCTTTTTTTCCACATGCAATATGATAAAACAGTTTTATCAGTCATGTAATGTCAATAAACCAGTAACACAATAACAATCAATTATAAACCATGAATAGTTAGTTTCCTGTTAACTGTGTCCACGTAAAAAGTGAAAAAAAAATCCAGGTTTTTGTTCATGTTGTATTACTGTGATGAAGGAACTGAATATAAAAACAAACATGACTAGCCCATTTTACTATACGTGGTGCAGTTATTGTGTTGAATATCAATTTTACTCTTCAAATAATCTTTTGATTGCTTAGGTGGAGGTTTAAGAATTGTTGTGCCAGACATCAACTTTACAGGAAAAGATGACATTAGATTACAGTTTTGAAGCATGATTTGCACAGTAACTGAATAGACCTTTACTGTGAAGACATAAAAGTAACAAATGATTAATTTAAAGACACTGCACACCAATTCCACTCAAACCTGCGGAAATGTTTACTAAATGCAATATTATATATAATATTACATTAAGCAGTATGATGTTCTGTAGAATTTACACCAAAATCCCCAAAATGTTTCACTCCATCCCAACAAAGTCAGTCATACAATGGCTACCCCAGTCAAATACAACATCTGGTAAATCACTGGTTTATTGGTCTCCAGTTTTCTCGCCATGCAGTGAAAAATGTGTCTAATAAACAGGATTTTCAGTATGTGTGGCCTATTTTTTGAAAAGAAAGCAAAATAATAAAATAGGCAGTATAAGTTAGGCAAAAGAACGTGTTGTTTTGCGGTCTAGTTGCCGTGGTGGTCTATTATTATCATTACTCTAATTAACAGAAATAGGCTTCCTTAAATAACCTAGGTGTGTTGGGCACTAAGCACTCTTTTTTTTTTTTTAAGGTTAATGACCCACTACAGGTACATGTCGCGCCTACAACTGTTGTTTACGCCTGTTCTGTCACACCAATGACTCCGTTTCCCATAAATCCGCTTAGCGCATGCGCAGGACGCGTTGCCTGACTGGTAAACAGACGTCAGAAGGGAGTCTTCGCCTCGAGTCAAAAACAAAACAAAACAAAACAAGTGAAAAAGAGACACAAGGGGTGGATATTTGAACGGCTACAACGACAGGAAATTATACGGGACCTTTCGCGGATTAAAAATGACTACTTGAAGGAAGTTATCGGTGTCATTTCGCGGACTTTTCCACGGATAGTAAAACTCTGGAGCAGCAGGAGCTTAAACCAGCTAACGTTACGGTGGCTATCGTGCTGTTTTCAAAGTGCGGCGAGTGAGAGCGGACAGACCCTACGAGGCAGACCAAACTTCTTCCAACACCCAGGAGTTGTTTTTGTGGTTTGTTTTTGGAGGGACTGTTGGTGGGGGATCGGATCTGGGCTCCGGCCCTCGCTCGGGAGGGTTTCATAAGCGTTTCTTCGAGCATCGTGTTCCGCGGCAGGAGTGGAGAAACATGGCAGATGGTGACATGCGCCTGGCCGCAATGTGGCGGATCGTGCAGACCTGAAGCACGGACTTTTCTTAACGCACATTTCTTTCTTAACTCCCCGCTTACACACATTACAACATTATTCAACCCGTAGCTAAACGTGCTCTCTTTTTCCTCTTTAAACGATTTAAATTTGTAGGTTATTTATTCTAAGGGGGCTTTGACGTACAGGCCAAAAAAATCAGCGCATCAGTGTTGTGGTTTTTAAAAAAAAATGTTTTTTAAACCGGAACACAACCAGTATCAATCTGTGGTTGAACGATTTTACACCTGCCTTTGATTTAACCAGAGTTGTTTGTGACTTTGTGGGGGGTTCGTGTCGGGACATTTAAAAAAAAAAAAAAAAGTTTTGGTCAAGGTTTTGAGCCTTGACATCACGTTGTTTACAAGTGGAGACGGACGGGGCTGTCCTGAGAAGCTCCTTTTGTAACAGTAGACAGCTGATCCCTGCTGGTAGTTTTCATAGTTTTACAGTTTAAAAAAAAACAAAAAAAAACAAAACGTTTTGAATATATATATTCACAAATTTGGCACGAGCAATTTCTGATTATTTTATTATTTTTAAGCCTTGATTTGTTAACATAACGACTGTTGAATGAATAGGCTACTGTTTACCAAATTATTCAATTCAAACAATACAAAATCTGGTTTTTATTAACGGGAATGGCTAAATGTGTATCCATATACTTATACATATACTAAAATTGTGTCATTCATTCTGAGGTTAGCACGAAAAACTGTACATCCAGATGTTTTCGTGCGCATTGCCACCCTGCCACTTTTGTTTTTATTTCATTCAAACAAAGGGACTCTCATCTCAGCCCTCCTTCATTCTATATAAATCGCAAGGTTTATGATAGTTACTATTAAGGAGATTATTTGGGTTCCCTAATCTCCAATCTGAGGATTAACCGAGGCTACTGGTGTGTCCAGATTATTACGTCTCTTTTCTAGGCCCCTCTGTTTACATGCCTGGCAGTGGCTGAAGCATATTGTTTTTATTCTGGAAGTGTTTTTGAAGCATTGGCCGCACACAGTGAGCATTACGGTGTAAAGGTAGATGTTTTAAGGGGTTATTCTTGTTGGTTAAGAGGAAGTTCAGAGGACTGTCATGGAGGATTCGCCATTGCCTCCGATTGACCCAGATTTCGAGCCGCAGAGCAGACCCCGCTCCTGCACGTGGCCCCTGCCAAGACCGGACATCTCCGTTGTCAAACCGGAGGGCACGGATGGCGCCGAGTCCGCCGCCGGGACCCCGCCCGCGGACGAGGACAAGCCCGAGCCGCAGCAACTCACCTCCGAGCCTGAGAAGGCTGCGGCAACGGCGGATGGTGGGGTCGTGCCCGGCGTGGGCGGAGCCGGCGCGACTCCCCGCAAAGGATCATCCCGGCGCAACGCGTGGGGAAACCAGAGCTACGCTGATCTGATTAGTCAGGCCATTGAAAACTCACCCGAGAAGAGACTGACCCTGGCGCAGATCTATGAGTGGATGGTGAAAACAGTGCCTTACTTCAGAGACAAAGGTGACAGCAACAGTTCAGCTGGCTGGAAGGTGAGTTAGTGGGTGATGGTTATCTAAACTTTTTACAGGTTGGAAGCTAATTATATCACATGCATTTGATCTTTGTTCCTAAACATTCAAGTCATTAGTGCTGAAACATGGAGAAAAAAATCAATCTTACCACAACCACAGAAATGTTTCCTAGTTTAAGATTTAGTATGACAATTATCATGCAAATAATTTTTTTATAATGTTCTTATTTGACTGTTCAACATTTGTACAACCTTCAACACTAAATTACCTTTCTGGATTAGTTTTGTATTGAACTCACAAGTAAAAGTGTAATTAAAACTTAGGCAGTGCCAAAGTTTATTTTCTTGCAGTGACTTTTCTACAAATGAAAACTTGATTAATAGGAATCACTTCCATTGATTCACATAACCAACCAAGTCCTTTTTCATTTCTGTCTGTTTCTAGAATTCCATTCGCCACAATTTATCACTCCACAACAAATTCTTGAGGGTCCACAATGAATCGACAGGAAAGAGCTCCTGGTGGATGCTCAATCCGGAGGGAGGGAAGACTGGGAAAGCTCCTCGCCGCCGGGCTGCCTCCATGGACAACAGCAGCAAACTGCTTAAGAGCCGCATGAGAGCGAAGCAGACCAAGAAGGCGGCAGCAGGCAGCCTGGGGGGCGCTGGAGGGGGTGAGGGTAATACAGGCTCTGGTGGTGCAGACAGCCCTAACTCATCCCAGCAGTTTCCTAAATGGGCGGTGAACAGCAGCCCGTCGTCCCGCGGCAGCCTCGATGACAGCGACATGTGGACCACCTTCCGCCCACGTACCAGCTCTAACGCCAGCACTCTGAGCGGACGTCTGTCCCCCATTGCCCCCGGACAGGAGGACGACGATAACCTGCCTGAGGACTCTCTGCTGGGGAGATACACAGCCCCCACCCTCACAGAGACCCTGATGGAGGAGCTGGATCTAATCGATGGCCTCACCTTGATGACTGGGACGCAGGGAGGAGCCAGTCCCAGCACAGCCCCTCCAGCACCTCCCACCCCACTGCCCTCCGCCGCCACCCTTCTGGCTCGCGGTACCAACTTCTCCTCCTTCCATCAGCTGCAGCCATCCAACCTCCCGCAGGCACCCTCCCACTCTGGGACCCAGGCTTCCATCTCTCAGTGTGGCCCTGGGAGCAAGGAGACTTCAACCTTCAGCAACTCCCTCTTCAACCCCATGTCCCCCTCCACCTCTCGTGGGAGCAGCCATTACAGTACCCACGTTCCCTCCAGCCTGGAGGCGCTGCTCACTTCTGACTCCCCACCACCCAGTGATGTCATGATGACCCAGGTGGACCCCCTCATGCCCAGTCCTGGAGGGGTAGGCCTTATGGGCATGGGATCGTCTGTTGTGAGCGTGAGGTCCAAACCCAACCAGCTGCTGATGAATAAGGGCCTTGAGCCAAACAACGTGGCCCCCATGGCGCTGCAGGCTCAAATGCAGCCCCAGCAGCACCACCTCCACCACCAGCAGCCGCAGCACCAGTCACACCAGCAGCAGCAACAACCACAGCAGCACCAGCATCACTCTCAGATGGGGCTGGGTATGATCCTCTCAGGTATGTCTCAGGACCCTCCACAGCTCTCTACCCTGAAGGCACATCATGTCACAGGGCCCGCTGTGGGCTCGCATCATGGAGCAGCCGTTGGCTCAGTCAATAACAGCTTGAGTCTGTCAGGCATGAGTCCATTTGGAATTCCGCCCTGCTTCCAGACCAGTCAGGACCGCCTGCCCACAGACTTAGATATAGACATGTTTACGGAGAATCTGGATTGTGACGTGGAGTACATCATCAACAGTGACCTCATGGACGGAGACGCGATTGACTTCAACTTTGATCCCATAATGCCTGGAGGCCAAGGCTACCCGGGCCCGACCACCACCCAGGGCTCGGCCCACAGCTGGGTGCCCAGCTAATCTGTCAGCTGACCACACAGTTAGCCAGGTACAGTGATGATTTTTTTCCACTGTTCATTCATCTATGTTTAAGTCATCTGGAGGAATTGTTTAATCTATACTATGTCCAAAGGTTATGAAACAATCTAGAGCCCACGATGACGACTTCATGGGTCGGTTTGTCACAAAGAGAGTCAATTGATGATAATAATAATTTGGGCTCTCTGATATAATGAAAGGATTAGTCAAACAGTTGATAATTAAATAAGGGTTAGTTGCAGCGGTTTATTTTTGAATGATTCCAGATGTTAATGAATGACTCCATTCATTAGATGGGGAAGTTATAGTTTGTAGTACTGCAGTTAAATAATCTGTTTATGTGGCAAATAAACAACACAAGTGACTTTTCTTTTTATCACGTTGTCTTGCAGGAACTAATCTCCAATCCAGATAACCTCACAGAATGACCGATGCATTCCTCCTCCCTGCTGGCTGAAGATAACTATTTTTCAATTACAATGCTTCTCTCGGACTGTAAAGACAAAACCAGACCTCATCAGTGTCATGTGCCAAGACATGCAGGGACAGGGAGGAGATTCAGGCTACCATGCACAATTTTTTTTTTTATAAAAGAAATAACACTCGCAACAGTTTGGCTGCTAGCCTTTTTTTTTTTTTTTTTAAATCCGAACTGATGACTTTGGTGTGGCGTAATGTTTTCAGAGTGAAAAGACAAATCATTAATTTCCCCCCTGTGGTGGAGTATTTATTTCAGTTATGTTACATCTGAATAGCTTTAGGGTGGATATATGGTACTTGATGGCTTTGGTATTGACTTCTCAAAGGACTTTTAATGTTTGGAAGAGTGGCCAGTTTTCCAGTAAGAAAAAAAAACTCCCCAGACCAAACACTGTGATCGCCGGTGCGAGGTGCGCCGAGAAGTTCGTCTCTGTTATGAATCGGTGAACACTTTGGTGGACTGTTTACCGTGTTATGAGCAGGTGGAAGAGAAAGACTGGATGAATGGAGATTTTGCAAAAAAAGTTGGCAGCACATCTCACCTGATCATGGACAATTTTTACGAACAATTTTTATGTTTCTCACTTGCGAGAAAGTGAGCATTTTTTTTCTCCAATTAGGTTTGGTGATTGAACAGTTGAGGACGGGATGTTTTTGCAGTTTGGCATTTTTGGTGTTTTGAGGTAGATGTCAATTAGAGAGTGTTTTTCTTTTCTTCTTTTTTTTTTTTATATCCCTGATGTGCAGTTAATCTAACAAAATGAAGAAATGTGTTTTGTGAATTTATACACAGGGCATTCAAGGGTTAATGTATTTGCCAACAAGTGATTGGTTGGCTAAGTATAGTCACATCTTAGACAGCAGTATGCCTCCTCTGTCCAATGCTCTACCTAATTGTGTTATTTTTTTTTTTTTTCATCAAGCCTGTGCATTTTCAAAGCACTTAGGTTTCCTGCAATACAGGAAGCCCGAACTAGAGTGGAGAATAATCCACATTAGGTTAAACCATTTCATTGAAAGAGAGTTTGAATCCTGTAAAACATGTAACGCACATGTTGCACATGTACATGATGACAAGCTATGCAGACCTATCAGGAGTACTAAATGAAATCTTGAAGGAAATTTAAAAGAAAATCACTTCTTGAAGGGTTTTGATATTTAATATTTTCCTGATATTTTCCTGTGCAGGTTTTTTTTTTTTTTTGAGTGCTTTGTATCAGAATATCCTCGCACACTTTAATTATTCAGTACTTCAACTATTCAGCTCAAGAATTTAATTGACTGTGTGACAAGTGCAAAAAAAGAATATATTTGATGATAGTTTTAATATACAATTTAGATGGAGGTAATAAATGAGATATTAATACATATGAATATATTACTAATGACAAGTGATGTTTTTTACATTGGAAGAAGAATTTTCAGATAATTTCTAACGGTAAATTTCTATACTTTTTATTTTTGTAAAGGATGAGATGCATGTAGATTTTTTTACATAACCAAAGGAACACTAACATTTGCATGGCATTTAGGAAGCGCTTAGGCCTGATCAGTATCTTGTTGTACATAAGCTTTGCAAAAGACGCCTGTAAGAAAAAAAAATCTGACTTTTTCAAGACGAGCAAAGTGCATTGATACTTGACCATTTAGACTACAATTCCCAAATAACCTGCCTCATTGTTTTCTGCATTCATTCTGCTACCAAGTAAAACAAAAAAGAGCTCAAATGCAGCAGGTCTCAGATAAAAAAAAAAAAGAAAAAGAAAGAAGACTTTTAGTGTAATCTCATCTCAAAACGAGACTAATACAACTGTTACCTCTCAGGGTCGCTCAGAAAGAAACTCAACGGGAAACGAATTATGCATGCACATGATCAGATCGCATGACAAAAGCTGAATAACAATATTTATTTTACATATTTTCTGTAACTGCTGACTGGAAATCCAAACTTAAATGCTTTTGTTTTGTTGTCCTGGAGACGTTTCCGTCGAGTGGATCTCAAATTTGACTCCCCTTTTTAGAGAAATGTTTTCTAGCTCTTCAGCAGCTGCATATCCGTACTAATCTGTCCCTTTTTTTTGACTGCCAATATTTAAGACACTATAGCATGAGCTTTTTTTTGTAACAAGATGGACTAAATCTTGTCATCTTACCCACTTTGAAATATTGTGTTTGCATTTAATTACTTTGTTCATAACTTTATTGTGATTACGAATAACATCCCTGCAGTTAAACTCTTGATATTCATCATTTCACTGTAGCTTTGTGAATATGTTAGCCTCTGATTTGTATAAAGCACTCTTTTTCTTTCACATTTTTATTTTATTTTTATTTTGAATGGTGCTAGATGTCCTCTGTGATGTATCCTGGAGTACGCCATCATGCAAAGTGGGTGCATATCAGGGCCTTTTGAATATTCTGTATACAGAACAAGGATCTTGTTTTGGTGTTGAACGTAGGCACACAATCAGCAGTTCTTACATATACATATATGTATGTGTGTATATATGTATGTATATATATATATATATATATATATGTATATGGAAACATAACCAGCATGTTTAAACTGCATGATTATTTTCTTATTACTCTATACCATAACATGTAACTATTTTAGAAAGTTGTATATGCAACAACCTCCTGGTGTTATAACTTCCTTTGTATTCCCCCTCTGTGATTATTACTCTCTACATACATTTTCTTCGGTTTTCTTAAACTTCTTAGTTAGTCACTGTATGTTTGTTTTGACTTTAAAAAATGCCCCATTTGATACAGCATTTTAGTATTTGGTAAAGGGTGGGTTTTTTATACTTTAATTCTTCAATAGCGGAGGATGGGTGGATAGGGAATGATGAGTTGTGCATAAGCCAATAATGTTTATGATTTTTGATTAATGTTGATAGTTTTTTCTTTATTCCCCCCAGTCTTTTTTTCTTTCTTGTCTCACGGTTAAGAGATGACACCGTTCTGAACAGCAGAAATAAATTCAATAAACTGTTTAACCCACTCTGTCTGAGTCCATGGTGCAAAGTTACTGAGTTAAACTCTAGAGATGCAGTGGTAGAAGAAGAAACTTCACTTCAGTATAAGAGGAAATACTTTACCTTAAAGTACTCCATTAAAAAAGAAAGGTAAGTATCAGCTTTTACATTTATGACAGTTTTATATATTAAACAATTAAAGTTGTTTTGTTTGTAATAACATTTTTGTTTGTTATCTGATGGAAACAAATAACTGCTCTCGGGGTACTAAGAAAGAAGATGAAAGAAGCTGTGCGAACAGAGAAAGAGTTTCATATTAACCAAAGATATAATTGGTTTGTAATTAATCCGTAACAAAGTGTTGATTAGATCTGAAATGACTGATTTGACTTTTGTGGTTATAGTAACCACTGATGCTTTTTAAATTTTTATTATTTGTTAGTTTATTTCATTCATAGACCAAACAAAACAATTAAATTCTAACATCAAATCTCAAATGTGAAATGAAAAGGAGCAGAAAGAAGGATAATGTTCTATTTCAAGAGACATTTATTCACAAAACAAAATAAAAATAATCATGAAATCAGCACAAGCACATGTACCGGGTGAAAAGTGTGTTCAAAGTATCCTAAGTAGATTAAGAAGCATTTATAATACATGAAAGAGTTCCACGCATGAAATATGGGGATTTCTATTAACTTTTTATTAATACAATTACTTCCTTTAAATCCTTGCTAATACCCGCCAGGGGGCGCTGTTGTACAGTTATACAAAGGATAACGACCTCGTCCTCTGCAGACAAAAGAACTGATTCTTGAGACCATCAGCCTCTCACCATCATGGGGACTTGTGGTGGAGCGAGTTGACAGCTTTAAGTTCCTTCACGTTCATATTTCCAAAAAGCCCAGCTGGGCCAAAAAAAACTACTGCTACGATTAGAGAAGAAAGAATTCATCAAAACTACAGAGAGGATACTCGCACCTGACCTGCCCCTCCATGGACTCCAGGTCTGCAGGAGGATAGCACAGAGCATCTCCAGGGAGAAACATCACCTTGTCTATGTTCTGTTCAGGTGGAAGAACTCAGGCTACAACCTCATGCACGACATGAAAAAAAAGATCATATCGTGACTATTTCCACCGATATTGTGAGCAATGAATAAGAATGATAATCTTATAAGAATTTTCATTATCACACATAAATTGAAACCATAGTGATGTGATATTTGGGGGGGGGTGGTTATTGAATAAATGTAAAATCTAAAGTCTATACACGGTTTGACACATTTTTCCACAGTCCCTTTGGATGAATCATTTTGGGCAACAGAATGAAATTGGATTGTAACCAGTGAAAAATATGCAGTGTGTGGTAGAGTCATTCTGATGAAATACAATCACCGCCTGAAAGCTATAAAATATTTCTAATAATGTGGGATTACTTAGAAAAGCTCACAGTATTATTAGGTCATATTGTACATTTACAGTGGGTACGGAAAGTATTCAGACCCCTTTACATTTTTCACTCATTGTTTCATTGCAGCCATTTGCTAAAATCAAAAAAGTTCATTTTATTTCTCATCACTCTACTTCTACACTCAGCACCCCATCTTGACAGAAAAAAAACAGAAATGTAGAAATTTTTGCAAATGTATTAAAAAAGAAAAACTGAAATATCACATGGTCATAAGTATTCAGACCCTTTGCTGTGACACTCATATTTAACTCACATGCTGTCCATTTCTTCTGATCCTCCTTGAGATGGTTCTGCTCCTTCATTGGAGTCCAGCTGTGTTTAATTAAACTGATTGGACTTGATTAGGAAAGGCACACACCTGTCTATATAAGACCTTACAGCTCACAGTGCATGTCAGAGCAAATGAGAATCATGAGGTCGAAGGAACTGCCCAAGAAGCTCAGAGACAGAATTGTGGCAAGGCACAGATCTGGCCAAGGTTACAAAAGAATTTCTGCAGCACTCAAGATTCCTAAGAGCACAGTGGCCTCCATAATCCTTAAATGGAAGAAGTTTGGGACGACCATAACTCTTCCTAGACCTGGCCGTCCAGCCAAACTGAGCAATCGTGGGAGAAGAGCCTTGGTGAGCGAGGTAAAGAAGAACCCAAAGATCACTATGGCTGAGCTCCAGAGATGCAGTAGGGAGATGGGAGAAAGTTCCACAAAGTCAACTATCACTGCAACCCTCCACCAGTCGGGGCTTTATGGCAGAGTGGCCCGACGGAAGCCTCTCCTCAGTGCAAGAGATATGAAAGCCCGCATAGAGTTTGCCAAAAAACACATGAAGGACTCCCAGACTATGAGACAGAAGATTCTCTGGTCTGATGAGACCAAGATTGAACTTTTTGGCTTTAATTCTAAGCGGTATGTGTGGAGAAAACCAGGCACTGCTCATCACCTGCCCAATACAATCCCAACAGTGAAACATGGTGGTGGCAGCATCATGCTATGGGGGTGTTTTTCAGCTGCAGGGACACGACGACTGGTTGCAATTGAAGGAAAGATGAATGCGGCCAAGTACAGAGATATCCTGGAAGAAAACCTCTTCCAGAGTGCTCAGGACCTCAGACTGGGCCGACGGTTCACCTTCCAACAAGACAATGACCCTAAGCACACAGCTAAAATAACAAAGGAGTGGCTTTGGAACAACTCTGTGACCATTCTTGACTGGCCCAGCCAGAGCCCTGACCTAAACCCAATTGAGCATCTCTGGAGAGACCTGAAAATGGCTGTCCACCAACGTTCATCATCCAACCTGACAGAACTGGAGAGGATCTGCAAGGAAGAATGGCAGAGGATCCCCAAATCCAGGTGTGAAAAACTTCTTTCATCATTCCCAAGAAGACTCATGGCTGTACTAGCTCAAAAGGGTGCTTCTACTCAATACTGAGCAAAGGGTCTGAATACTTATGACCATGTGATATTTCAGTTTTTCTTTTTTAATAATTTGCAAAAATTTCTACATTTCTGTTTTTTTTCTGTCAAGATGGGGTGCTGAGTGTACATTAATGAGAAATAAAATGAACTTTTTTGATTTTAGCAAATGGCTGCAATGAAACAGAGTGAAAAATGTAAAGGGGTCTGAATACTTTCCGTACCCACTGTATGTGATCAAAGAGAAGTCAACAAAGACAACAGTACACAGGTTGTTTTACATAGAGCATCTTTATAGAAAACATTTCTTCACATTTTCAAAAAACATTTTTTTTGTCTTTTCTCCTGTTCTCTTTTTTTTTTGTTTTTCTTCTTTAAATAATTGTCTTTTTTTTTTTTTTTCTGCTCAAATTCTGAACATTTTTTCACATCCATCTGTGTCAAAGGCTCTTGCTGAGTTGCTGCGGCTCATAGAAAGGGACTGATTGAGAACTCGGCTGTCCACGTTCTCTGTGATGTTTATCAGAAATGGTGCTGACTAAGTCAAAGAAAAGAAAAAAACAGTTTCCCATTCATGGGGGGGGAGAAACCACAAGTCTGCTACTCGTCAGCTGAGAGTTTTTTTCATCTGCAGAACCCACATTCAGCCTCCAGTAGTCACATCTGTCCACTTCAGCAGCTCTCCAGTTTACGCCTGAAGGCACCTGTGTTAACAGTACTTTTGCTTTTGTCAATATGCACTTCAGTTTCTTTTCTACATCCTGAAGTTACAAACGCTTAACTCCAAACACGCCGTCACACCTCAGTATCTAAACAGGTCCTACATCACATCCAGAAACTAAACAAATGCACTGAAGAGTTTATTCAACTGTAAAAATAAAAGTAAAAAGACAGAAATAAGCAGTTTTAACAGCTTGTTTGAACATTGTTCTGCTCTTCAAATTGTACCATGGACAAAGAGCTTCAACACAAAGTTACACAAAAAATTAAATCTGTACTTGACCTAAACTCATGACCAGTGCAGATCTGCCTCTGGACATTTGTAATCTTTCAATTCGTCATTTTGTTTTTTTTTAACGTTCCTTTGTTTTCAAATTCAGTCTTTCTTTTGATCATGTGATCTTGCATCGATCACTGAATGAACAAAATAACCATTTAATTAAATGCTCAGCTTCATGTTCACTGAGATAATCAGCTCTCTGACTGCTGGACATTAGTTTAGGTTTGGATGCTTTTGTTTTGAAAACATTAGAACCTTCAACGTCTTTCCAATCGTTCACTAAATGATCTCACTAAATCGAGTGACTTTACTCAGAAATCTGGGGTTGATAACGAAGCCAAAATGTGAAAACGTTTGAAGGGACATAACAGTGTAAAAATCTTCATTACACGTTGTATACAGGAGAAGAAAGACGTCTGACCCAAACACTGTGCACCGTTTTTATGTCTCCTAAGAGCTACCTTGCATTATAAATATATAAAGTTAAAAAAAGTGCTTATTAAAAGAAACTAAAGTGAAGTAATAACTTCCAGCAGTGTCACTGTTGTTCGTTCTTGGACAGCATTAATACGAAATGTTATGGAGAGCTAAACTGTCATCTGTCACAGCTCATTTTTTAAATGTCCTCCTCCAACACTGACAAAGATTGTCCAAAAAAACTGAACAAAAAAACAGGCCCTCTAACTCTCCCAATAACATTCATTAAACATTTACACTTTGTGTGTGTGTGTGTGTGTGAGGGGTATAGTCGATACAAAAGGATCCGACTAAAAGGGAGAGTATTGGCCACTGCAACCCACTGACTGAGCTGGAACAAAGAACTGGTAAAAAAATAAAACAAGGTTAGTTAATAATTGCACATAACCTTTGAGAGCATAGATGTTTGATAAGAGAACTTCATGACCATCTGCAGGAGTGGCGAGGAGGAGGTGGAGGAGGAGGAGGAAGAGGAAGGGGGATGTGGCACACTGGTATAAATACATTAAATCTGAAAATAAAGCACATTCATGAGGCACAGCTTCAGGATAACGGAGCTCTGTCCTTAAAGGTGCCACTCTTGTCCTGCTTCGCATGTCGGCTGTTAAGATTTCTTCATCCTCGTGTCTCTGGGTCTCTCTGTACCGGCGGAAAGTTGTAG